ACTTCATTTCTAAAGGCATTATAAGGGGAAGAACTAAATATCCAAATATGTAATGTGTACTTTCACTAAAAATATATGCTCTAAAAATGATTATGAATTCTAATTAAAGATGCTGTCTAATCTATTCTGGCTATTGATATTCACAACCATACAATTTACAATGACATTGCATTTGTCAAATGCATAGCGAATGCAAGGAAATCATTCTGATATTGCCAGTGAAAATAGTTGAATTCAATCTAGAGAGTGTTGGTGCTTCATTTTGTAGACAAAAGTGTTATTTTTTTTTTTTACTTTGCTTTTTCCCTTTTTCTTTCCTTCTTCCTTTATTATGGATATTAGCAACATCATAAATGAGGTAAAGAAATGTTTTCAACAACAGTTTATAATTTGCTGAAAAAGATTCGGAAGGATAAACACGTGCCTGTGTTTATTTTCTATTCCAGGTGTCACTACTACAATGCTTTTACCCATAGTTAAAGATTACTCGTACAATTTAATTTATCCAACCACCTATTATCAAGATTTATACATTACTGTACTTAAAATCTCCATTTTCCTTGGACTCTAGATGCATCATTAAATGGATTTATTCTGTAGGTAATATCTTCTCAAATCTGGTGTAGGCATATCGTTTCTGACAATTTGTTTAAAAAAAAAAAGTTTATGCTTTTAATGAATAACTTGACCATGAAAGCACCTACAAACAGATTTTACATTTTTACAACAGATAAAAGGAAGACTTTAGACTGTTTTTATGTTTAATGTTAACAGATTTGAGAGCCTTGTGAGTTAGTTGAGGGAAAAACATACGTAGAAGTGCCAAAGCCAAGACAAGACAGTCCAGTGTCACGCTTGTTGGCACAAACAATGCCTCCCGGACCTCGGTGATCCCTTCTGGAATGCCTGCACATGGCCTACAGGCATTAATATTTGTTCTCTTATTTTACTTTTCTTTTAAGTCTGTAGAGAGAGAAAGACAAGCACCCTCAATAAGGTCGCACACTGCAACCCTCCAACTCTAGCCTTACTAGCTAGCCAGCCAGGATCGTGGGTGCATGCACCCAGCACACATCGTTGACTGGGCAACTGAATGCTGCTCTTCTACCTGAATTTGGCATCACTTGAGCAGTGTGCTGCTGCTGTACTATCAAGCTGCTCCAACTGTCTTATTCTTAAGCTCCTCTGTTGAACAAAATGTTCCTGCTTGTCTTTGTCATATGAAAGATAGAGCTTTGTTCATCGGAATCAATTCATATCTCTGAGCAGTAATATTTCCACGTACAGTGAGCTGCATACATAAACATTTTGCCCCCATGTAGCATAGTCACACTTTCTCCAGATGATACTTTGGGGAGTATTGAGCAAGAGTATTCTCAGTATTTAATAAAATCAAAATCAAAATCAATAAAAGGTCATACATTGTACATCTATGAAAATATTATTTGCTGCAATCTCATCCCATGTATCCTTTGACTTCCCTTATTTGTGCCTCAAGCCACATCTATTCTTAATTTGTGTTACTCTCTCTACACTCTACACTCTCTGAAATAGTTTTTTTTTTTTTTTTTAAAGAGCCATTTGTCCAGAAATACTACAACTAAAACGCCCAGTCTGCACAATGGGAGCTTTTAGCAAGCCGTATATGCACAGTTGAGCTGTGCTTGCAAAATTGTTTTTCTTAAAGTGCAGTCAATTGACCATATACCAGCACTAATTCGGTGCTAACCAGTAAGGCATGTGCACACGCTGCCCCACACAGCAGTGATTGCAACCATCATGGCCAGGGCGCTTGCTTTTATTTTCAGCAAGGAGAAATTTAAATGCGGCAGCATGCCTCAGCTTAGAACCACACGTCTTCAGACTCTGCTTTCTTCCAAAGGCAGATTTTCCATTTGCCCTGCGTTAAATGTTACACTTCTTTTACAAACCAACGCTTATTCTCCTAAGACCATTCTGGCCGAAAATGACTTCAAATTAGCCTGCTGGAAAAATAAAAATCATTTAACAGTATTATGCTAATACCCTAATGAAATGATAATATACATCTGCCTGGGATATAAAAATAATCTTTACGATTCTCTCAAAGTAAATTTTTATTTATTATTTGGTCAGATTTTAGATGCTCGCAAGTTCCTTAAAATTCTGTCTTAAAATAACAACGCTAGAGGGCAGGTGTTAGATTTCTAGAACATTATTATATTTCTTCAGGCGCTCAGCCTGCAGCCTACTTTTTCACAATAATTTCAGTCCTGGGAAACTATAATTATCCTGAAGCACTCCACTTACACTGTCTTATTTCTTAATTACAGTACTGACATGAGATAAATGCATACTTATTGGGATCAAATGCATATTATTTTGTGGTGATTATAAAGAAGTTCTCGTGACAACATTTGCAATTATATGGTCATCAACTATAGATACCATGTTATGTTCTAGAAACTCTGTAATTAAGTCCTGCCAAGAGGGCACTTCCGATTTAAGATTAAAAAGCTGAAGAATGAGAGAACGAGTGGCCGATGCAATGCTGGTCAGTGACATGTACACCCTGAGCTTGTTCAAATGATTTTGTTTGAATCTCAAGTAAGAACATCACATCAGCCAACGTGTGTGTGTGTGTGTGTGTGTGTGTGTGTGTGTGTGTGTATGGGGGGCACTTAATATCTACTTAAATTAGTTATGCAAAAACTATACATTTGCCTTTCTCTTTTCTGACCTTTAGAATAAAAAGCTTTGAATGCGCTCCAAGGGGAAAAAAATGGACTGTAAATCTGACAAGCATTATATTGTCTTTAAAGATAACATTTGCAGTATCAGTAATTTATTTTCTAACTCATTATCATTAAAGTTTTCATTTATGATTACAAAAACCATATCTGTTTTTATTCCTATTTAAAAGGATAACAAGAAAACTTTATATTGCTAAGATAATACTTACTAAATAGTTTCCTCACTGTTCCTTTAGACATAAACTCTCTCTTTTTTTTTAAATCAGAAAAAAAAAGATGGATGTCCAAATAAGAAACTTGATATATAAAAATGCTTGGGTAAAGGTATCAGGTGTATTAGGTGTCAGATATGGGAAATTGCCTGGGTTTAAATTTTTGTTTTGCCTCTACTATGTGTGACACTTGGACAAGTTACTTAAACTCTGTGCCTCAGTTTCACCAAATAGACAATAACGGTACCTATCTCCTAAGAGTGTGGTGGGATTTAATGATTTCATGTAGGTAAAGGGTTTAGAATCATGCCTAGTCCATAGGATGGGCTACATAGTTTTCAAGTATTATTTTACGTAGTTTGGACACATTAAAGGCCAGGAGCAAGCTCTCATCTTTCTCTCTACCTACAACCATGATGAGGAGTGGCTGAACATTGTCACTGCTTTCCCTCTGAGTATCCTTGTTGGCATTCTATGAGACAGAGAAAGAGAATGTCTTTCCCAAGTAAAAAGGACATTCAAACTATGAACCTGCTATCTTTAACTTGCAAGAATATATTTTAAACTCTACGACAAAGTAATACCTTGGTGATTTTCAAGATAAAAGACTCCTTCTTTGCCATTTATAGTTATCCAACAATGTATTAGATCTTGTAAACAAAGGTATGTAGCCCTTATCATATGGTTAATAGTCTAACCAGGTTAGACTAGAATATAACACGGTAATGAAAATGATATTGGGATGCTTATGGTAATCTCATTTTTTTGCCAAATCTCCATATCAACATAAACCCTTGAAAAGAGTGAATGAGAGCCTATATGAAACACTACCCTTGAGATACTTGACTTTTCTTATATGTAATTTTTCAGTTCAATTTCAAATGTTATACTTGTTTAAATATTATTTTGTAGCATATGTACTCCTACTTTCCTAATGACGTTAATGAAGTAGTTCATTACAGTACTTGGATTACAGTAAAATATTTATATAAAAATCTATAGAGTAAATAGCAAAATGAGTTTTTAAAATACTTACATTTTAAAATAATAAAAAATTGAGGAGTAAATACAAAGTAGTGTTTTGGGTAGAAAAGGATGAACTCTTTTTATGAGTTGCATCAATTTCTGCCATTTAGATCAAGATTATGCATAATTTTCTCTTTCTTTAGTATTTTTTAAATCCTGCTGCAATATCCGATACGCTGCATATTGGATTATCGTCAAGTTCAAATTTTGGTTGCTCTGGCCCAGCTGAAGTGGCACATGCTGTTAAGATTTTGTTCTCACAGGCTGCGACCACATGGGAGGCCCAAGTTCATGTACGTCCCAATCTAAAGACTTGGTGTGCTGGTGTGGTCCTGCTATTCCAGGGACTTGGGTAGACTGAGGCAGGAGGTAATGATGTGGCAAGACTCCTTTAAAAAAATATATGTACATTGCTCTTTCAAGAGCAATCAGTCTAGATTTCACTTTTCCTTAGTTTCTGGTCCACAAAAGAAATGCCATGATAATTTTAGAGTTAATATTGAGATTTAAAAATTTATAAAAGGATAATTAAGTATAAAAGAGTTTTTGGCAAAATATGATCAATTTCTGTACACACATAAATGGTTTCTTTAAGGCAGTAAACATTCTTCATTAGACCACAAAGAAACAAGTTTTCTGGACCCTGATCTCATTTTCACCTATATATATCTACACCACAAAATTCTGGAACAACTGTTTAATCATAGAATTGGTCTAATTCTGGTCCTTCAATATTCTGAAACTTAATTTGAGGATGTTGGTTTCATAATAGGGGAATGAAAAAGAAACAATGAAAAGTAGTGCTGTACTTTTAATAAGTAGTGAAGACATGCCAATTTCAATTTCAATTTTAATTTTGAGAGTGTGTTATTTTAGCATAGAAAAACATAGACTGTGTGGTTTTCCACCTACAACGATAATTGTACTTCTTATGAAATTTCAAGATTAGGTGAAGTGCTGCCTGGAGCTTGTACTGCCATTTTGAGATTAAGTGCATGATATTTTGTGGTCATCTTTACCTATCTTCCAGATCAGCATTTTCATGACCCATTTATCGAATTATGGAAATGACCGCCTAGGGTTATATACCTTCGTGAACTTGGCCAACTTTGTGCAGAGCTGGACCAACCTGAAATTGCAAACTCTTCCTCCAATGCAGCTGGCCCGCAAGTACTTTGAGCTGTTCCCTGAACAGAAAGACCCTCTGTGGCAGGTAACAGTTACGATTTTTTCCTTGTATAGAAGCAAAGAAACTAGCAATTCTGTGTCCCATTGGTATTAGGCATTTCACTGAATGTATTCACACTGGTATTCAACACGAATTGTTCTTTTATCCAAATAGTTGCATTCTTTTCTTGAATATTTTTGTCTGTTTTATAAATTAAGTAGTTGGATTTTTTTTCCCCCTGGGTTCTTGTTTGGATGGTTATTTGAAAATTTTGCACTGAAGGTATTGTTTCACTGTTCATGTCTTCTCCAAGCTAATCATTTGACTTGCTTGCAGTGTTGAGTACTAACTAGCTACTGCTAGTGATTAGGCCTTGGATAGCTAGAGAGAGAAAAACCAAGAGTAATCATAATCTAAGACCCCAGACTAGACCCTGATATGAAAACGTATAACATAGCTCATGTTAAAGAGAAAGCACCTTAAGCCCATATTCTCTCTTCAGTATATTGGACTTTTCTTTAAATCAAACTAATCTTTCACTAAGATGAGCCCTCCTGATAAGAAAGAGAACTATCAGTTTTCGGATTTTTTTTTTTCCAGTAATTCAGTTTCTCATGGGGCCTTCCAGCCTGGATGCATCAGATGTAACCTACCTGCTTCTTAGCAGCTATCTAGGACATGCCTGTTCCCAATATCTTGCTTGTTTATGCATCTGATTGCATCGACCCACACAATCGATTAGTGGCTACAGAGAGCACATCAGATGGGCCCCCACTAAGCAGATGGTACAGAAGTAGAATCATCATTAAGGAGAAATCACTGAGAAACAGACTTTTTACCATCCTCTCTCCCTCTCATCGAGATCACATGTGTCTCTGTAGTCCATAGACCAAGTTCCTTGCCACTCTGCCTACCATACAATAAACACCCAAGGCATGTTCATTGAGCATTTACTAGGTGAAAAGTAAGGCGAGTGGCTCTGGGCATGCAAATAGAATAAAACACATCTTCTCTCTAATCACTATCATATGTTTCAAAAATGTTTTTTTTTTTTTAATGCCTGTGACAGTAATTCAGAACTTATTTCTGATCATTTATTCATTAGTCCTTCACCATTTGTGTTTACATTAAACAACACATTTGTTGGGTCTATGGGAGTCATGATGCATTTTCACATAGAAAAAAAGGAGGAAAAAATATGTTCCAACTCCCCCACAACCTAATCATTATTTTACCCTTATAGTCAGTTTCTTCACCATCTATATATTTGGTATGAGAAGTTATCAAAAAGTCCATGGAAAATGCTTGAGAAATGATACATGAATTTCAGAATTTTGGGGCACTAAAATAAACTTGTACTTTAATTTAATTTTTCCACATATTTTTAAGTGTTTTTATATAGAAGTTAGAAAGAGAGGTAAGTAGAAACATACAATATCTTTCTTTTATACTCTGGCTTGCTTCATTCAGCAGTAAATATTGCGTAATTATACACTTTCTATTAAATGCCAGGGTCTTGTGGTTTTCTCATGGCTGATAATGTATAAAGTAAATTAAAAAGCAAAATTAAAATAAAAACAATGGGAGACTAAGAAAATAAAAATAGGAACCTAATAATTTTGAGTATATAGAATCGTACCAAACAGATAAAGTCAAAATATTGTGTCCCATAAATGACTGTTAGTATAAAGAGCATATATAATTTTATAAAATTGAATACATTGTTGAAAATATTGGGTCATGGGAAAAGTCATGACATATTTTTGCATAGAAAATACAACATGATTTTTCTGACAACCTAATAAATCAACCCATTTCTTATACATGTTTGTATATGAGAGATTTCTAATTTATGAAATAGTAATAGTAAAAAATAGATAATAAAAGTTTCACAGCTGACACAGCTTCAAGCTCTACACATTTCTTCCTCTGAAAGAAAAGTTTTTGTAAATGGCAAAACTGTATTTTTAATGGCATTTGAACTTTTTGTAATAAACAGTTATTTATTGATAGGACTTGAATATTAGTGACACTTATCTTTTTAAAGCATGATTATAACTGAAGCTATGCCAGCTCCAGTTAGGTTTGGTTAACATGGTGATTCTAAGTCCTGATTGAATGTTTGTTAAATATAAAATGTTGTGCTGGTTATTTGGTGGTATAAATAAAAATTATAAATAGAAAGGGGGCACTGGCTGGTGGCGTGGTGGTTGAAGAGGCTGGATTTTGCATGGCTAAGTCCTGGACCTGGTGGCTTGAGAAACACATGGGGCAAATGTACATATATGCCCAAAATCCCAAAGGGAGAGATGGAAGAGAAGGGATTGTGGCATGACTGTTTCCTATGGAAGGTGTTTTCTCCTCTCTGCCCTCCTCCCCAGCAAGCATGCATACATTCTGGCAAAATAATAATACTAATACATGCTACCCTCATATAAAGAATCTATTCCCTTTTTTACAGTAGTGTTGAGACAATTCAATAAGGGAAGAATATTTAGTTCAGCAAGTGATGTTGGGGCAACTAGCTATCTACATACAAAACAATGAAGATGAACCCCTCCCTCACACCACACACAATTTATCTCAAAGATACCTCAATATAAGATCTAAAGCAAAATTCTTAAAAGAAAAAATAGGAGTAAATCTAACTTTGTCTTTCTCTGGAGAGAGAACAATACTCAAGAATATATTTTTGGGAGACCATCAGTTGACATAGTCGCTAGACTCCCATGTGGTCAACCATGGTTCAAGTCCCAGACCCAGTGGCTTAAACTCACACCAGGAGCATATGTGTGCATGACCAAGATCCCAAGTGAAGAATGGAGGAGAAAGAGATTGTGGTGTGGCCATTGCCCCTTGGGGTGATTTCTTGCTTTCTGTATCTCTGTCTCTCTCTCTCTCTGTCTTTCTGGTGAGCACATGCACCCTATGGCAAAAACCTCTCAAAAAATAAAAAAAGAATGTGTTTTTCCCCACATCATTTGAGAGCATAAACCCTCACTAGAGAGAGAGACAGAGAAAAAGGAGGAAGAAAAAGAACCCCCTAATGTGGAACAGTCCTTCTCCTCCATTTTGCTCTCCTGTCTGGTATGAAAACTCAGTGGTTTTTCGAACTACCAGAGTTGGCCACATGTGATACAGTTTATTTTAACCATTAGGTCACAGGGCCCAGCCCAAGACTAAAATTTTTTTTTTAACTGAAAGATTCCTTTTGCTATCATTTGAATAATTTTTTGTATGTTTTCTTTGGACTGAAAAATAAAGTTGCCAACATTTTTTACTAACGAAAATGTCATATATTCTCAAATATATTTAAGGAGAAAAACAAGGAATATAAAACTGAAGAGTAGTTTATGTCAACAGGGAATTATCAGCACATGGGACTTTGAGAACAGTTGACTCATTGAAGCAAATATGACAACTTTGCCCATCACAACAATATCAAAAAACAAACAACAGGTAGTGAAATAGTGAGAAAGTGTGTCATGCTTTCTGAGCTCCCTTCTTTGATGGCGATCTCTTCTTTCCATCTTCCTATCTACAGTAGCCAACAGAAACATGAGCGCTGTCATTTCCTTTTCACAATGTGAATTTAGTCCTACAAGCAAGAGATAAGCAAGAACAGCAATAACTGCTCAATGCCAGTCTCCCATTCCTTCATCACAACCGTATAGAATTAGGCTCAATGTTACATGTCCCTGTCATGGTGACGTATTGCCAAAATGAAATGCTAAGGTATCTTTTTGTATGTATGATCATGGCTTCTTAGTATATTTCACTTATAAAAAGAAGTCAACTGTTATTTTTCTTTAGATTTTTCAATTCACACTTTTTTATTGCCACAAATATAAAGAAAAAGTGCAAAATGATCATCTTCACATCTATCTAGTTTCCTTTGGTTCCTTATGGAAATTTTCATTAGCACCAACTACCGTATATGTGAAGCTGCTTTGTCACTTAATTAAAAAGTGCAATGTGAATATTTTTCAACAGGTTGCATAAGTACATTGTTTGTATTCCTTGCTCACTGGGCACCGATTCTCCCAAACCTGATCCATAGGGGAATGTGTGCTGAGGACACAGAGATGCACCCCCCAGACCCATTCTCAGCTGTTTACAGCCTGATGTGTAAGACTCTTCAACTTGTACTCACGATTTCCTATTGATTTATGTCCGTTATTGTTTTGATAAAATAATCACTACAAAGTGTGAACAAATACAATTTAAAATTTTCTCTTTAGAAAAAATAAAAACTCTCATTATAGGAACCAAAACCACAACATGGAGACAGTTGAAAGGTCAAATTCTTGTGCATTCATTAATCATATTCATTAATCGATATGTTTAAGCTCTCAACCTGTCTCAATCTTCACTCAATCATGCCGGAGTCTCACTATCAAACACGGATGCCAAGCATGATGTGGATTCCTGCTTGCCTAGGTGACCAGGGGAATGCATAAAGAGTTTTCTCTTTCCATCCAGTGTCTCCAGGGTTAAAGAAGTGGGGAATTAAATCATAGTACTCCCCTCCAGTGCCTAGTGCCTCTGTTGGTTCTAGCTGTCAAAGCCTCCAGCCCCAGTTTAGAAGTGAGGAGATTTGAATGCTTATGACAAAACACATCACAAGATCCAGTGACATATACTGTGTAGGTTCTATTGCTGTGTTTCTATTGAAGGAATGAATGAGGGCTGACACAGAATGACAAACTGGAGGAGTAGAGTAAGAAGTTAGAGAGGAAGACCAGCAGATGGCATAATGGTTACCTCTCTGGACTCTCACGTAGTTGACTGCGGTTTGAGTCCCAGACTTGGCAGCTTAAAACACTGGGAGCATGTGTGAGTGTACCCAAGATCCTGAAAGGAGCATGGAGATGAAGGGGTCACAGTGTGGCCTCTCCTGCCTAATTCCCCACTTCCCCACCACCCAACCCCCAACTCCCCTCATGTCTCTCTATCTATCTCTCTGGCAATCTCATGAGCCCTATGGCAAAAATTTCTCTAAAAAGAAAAAAAATACATAGTTAGAGATATCGCATCCAACCTAT